CCTTGGAGGAAGGACTGTGACTTATCCCACGTAGTTCTTAAGGCCTGTTAAAGCCAGTAACAGCGGTAATAATACCGACAGCAATAGCTAGCATTTATTGAGCACTTACCTTTGAGTGCCCCAGCCACACAGCCCTTGAGATAAGGATTACCAGCCCTTTTTTATAGATGTAAGAACCAAGGTTTTAAACAGCGAAACAACTTCCCCAACGTCATGCAACCAATATATGACCTGCATCCCATATCTGACTAATTCCCGGAGGATGTGGGTTGTTTTTTTTTTTTCCAGTGACCACTAAATAAGGGTTTACTGAAGGAATAACGATAGTAAAACTTCACCTGTTTCCCAATTTTGCTCTGTAAGTGGCCCAAAGTAAATCAACTGGCAGAAGAGGTCTTTTGGTTGTTGTTTTTATTATCTAATAAGGTCCTGCCTAAGTGAGCGTCATTTCACTGGCTCATATTTCCAAGATGCTCAAATATAAAAGTATACAAATACTATGAATATAAAAATAAAGAGGAGAACGTGTGAAAAGCTAAAGGTGATCAAAATGTATAAATTTCTAGTTATAAGTAAGTCCTGGGGATACAATGCATAGCATGGTCACTGTAGTTAACAATATCATATGTTTGAAAGTTTAAGAGTGAATAGATCTTAAGTTTTCTTCACCTGCCAAAAAAAAAATGTAACCGTGTGGTGATGGATGTTAACTAAACTTATTGCAGTAATCATTTCGAGATACATGTATGTGCTCAGTCACTTCAGTCGTGTCCGACTCTTTGCGACCCTATGGATGGTAGCCTGCCAGGCTTCTTTGTCTATGCAATTCTCCAGGCAAGAATACCGGAGTGAGTTGCCACTTCCTTCTCCAGTGGAACTTCCCAACTCAGGGATCAAACTTGATCATTGCAGGCAGATTCTTTACCAACTGAGCTACAAAGCTTTTGGTTCTCAGTATAAGCATATATCAAATCATTATGTCGTACACCTAAAAACAATACAAAGTTATATGTCAATTATACCACAATAAAAATAAAGATGTATATTAAGATATAATTTAAAAAATTTTTTCTCTCTTCCAGGATTTTGGTGGCCCTGCTTGAATGATACTGTCTTTTTTTTTTTCAAGAGCCTCAGAACCAACACTAGGTGCTTTTTATTTTTTTTGACCATGAAGCTTGTGGGATCTTAGTTCCCTGACCAGGGACAGAACCTACACCGCCTGCGCTGGAAGCATGGAGTCTTAACCACTGGACCACCAGGGAAGTCCCAAGCTGGTCCTTCTTATACTGAAAAGACTCTTCTCTTCCAACACGGCAGCCAATTCACCAGTTTTACATGATGGTCAGTCTCTCTGTCGTAAAGGAGGAAACGTATCAGAGAATTCTCTGAGATCTATATAGATTAAGTGATATGAATTCAGCAGTGTTATTTTTTAATGGAATGAAAAGTCTGTAAGGGAACTAAGTAGTCTTCAGGTTATTTACTGTGGGGGATAAAAAACGATTCTTCATCCCTCGATGAATCACACTTCATGGCACTGCACACAAAATCTGCTTACCAGAGGTCAGCACTGTGCATGTTAAATGACTTTTGTGTGAGAATACTTAGATTTATCCTAGCTTTTGGATACAAAGACTGCCCCTGCTCCACTGAGGCAGAGACGAGTCTTATACCTGGTGATAATATTAATCAGATGTGAAGAGACAAACAATGAGGGAAATGGAACTGCCATACTAATGGTGGGGAAATGAGAAGTAAAGAAAGAAAAATAAAGATAATAAAGTCACACAAACACATATGAGCACATACTTGGGACAGAAGATAGGAAAATAGCTATTATGCTCAGTTGGTAACATATATAATCTACAAAATGATGGGCTTAAATCAGTATTAATCTAAATTGATATTATAAGGTTAAAAATGTTTTCTGCTTATTTGCTCAATCAACTAATCAAATTGGTTTGTTCTAAAAACGTATCTTGGAGAAGGCAAAGGCACCCCACTCCAGTACTCTTACCTGGAAAATCCCATGGACAGAGGAGCCTGGTAGGCTGCAGTCCATGGGGTCGCTAAGAGTCAGACAGCTACCCACTCCAGTCGGGAGACCTGGGTTCGATCCCTAGGTTGAGAAGATCCCCTGAAGAAGGGAAAGGCTACCCACTCCAGTATTCTGGCCTGCAGAATTCCATGAACTGTATAGTCCATAGAGTCGCAAAGCGTTGGACATGACTGAGCGACTTTCACTTTCTAGAGAATCCACAGGTCTTCCTAGGTGGTACAGTGGTAAAGAATCTGTCTGTCAAAGCTGGAGGCACAAGAGACAACAGTTGGATCCCTTGATCGGGAAGATCCCCAGGAGAGCGCAAAAGTGTTAGTTGCTCAGTCGTGTCCCACTCTTTATGATCCATGTGGATTGTAGCCCACCAGACTCCTCTGTCCATGGGATTCTCCAGGCAAGAAAACTAGAGTGGGTAGTCATTCCCTTCTCCAGGGGATCTTTCCAATTCAGGGATAGAACCTGGGTTTCTTGCACTGCAGACAGGTTCTTTACTGTCTGAGCCACCAGGGGGTCCTGGAGAAGGAAATGGCAACTTACCCCAATATTCTTGCTGGGAAAATCCTANCATGTGGATTGTAGCCCACCAGACTCCTCTGTCCATGGGATTCTCCAGGCAAGAAAACTAGAGTGGGTAGTCATTCCCTTCTCCAGGGGATCTTTCCAATTCAGGGATAGAACCTAGGTTTCTTGCACTGCAGACAGGTTCTTTACTGTCTGAGCCACCAGGGGGTCCTGGAGAAGGAAATGGCAACTTACCCCAATACTCTTGCTGGGAAAATCCTACAGACAGAGGAGCCTGGTGGGCTACAGTTCATGGGGTCACAAAGAGTTGGACATGACTTAGCAACTAAACGACAACAACAAAGAGACTCCACATGGAACAGCACTGGTGTCTTCAAGGAAACAGTAGAGGTAGCTGAAGTGAAGGGCAGGGGCCAGGCATGAAGGAGAACAGATGCTGTGATTTGGAACTGGGACTTTATCCCATCAGTGATGCAGAAATACTAAGGAACAAAAGGTACGCAGAGAAAAACACAACCAAGAGCATAAGAGAGCAAAAAGATGAAGAACTAAAGATTAATAGTTAAAAGTTCAGTGGGCTCGTCTTGAATAAACAGAAAAATGAGAAGATCACTTGGGGCAGACACAACAGCCATTCCCAACTCCCTTTTCTCTTGTCTCACTTGCCTCCCACTATAAAGACAAAAATCAGGATAGCAGCTTTCTAGCCTCATTTAAGCCAAGGTTGGGCACATGTCAAGTGCCCATGAAATTCTGATCAGGGCACTGAGCTTAAGAAAACTGCAATAGATTCTCACATACACAAACACAAAGGAACTAGACAAGCTACTTAAAGATTTTTCTTTCCTAATACAAGGACAGATGCACCAAGCAAGCTTTGTCTCACTCCTCCACCACTCCCAGCTTTCTTTGAGAAGCCCTTGCAACCTTGTGAATTTTCACACTGCCATGGCTAATTTAAAATCAGGACAGAGGTTTGGGCACTATTTCCTAAATTGAGATTAATCTCTTTAAATAAATCATTCCTGGTTGAAGCGTCTCACCTAGTGAACAGACCACCATTAACCATCTAATTACCAGCATTTATTTCTGGATGTAAGTAAACCAAATTTCATTTTGTTTACTACAACAGAGTAAGACAAAAAGCTACAAGTCAGATACACGGGGACTAAAGTCCTATATGGGTTTTTGTTCCAATGGTCACACGATATAATTTACTGGATGAGCACAAGATGGAAAGCCAGTTAGATGAGCAGTTAGACTACCTACAAAATGAGTATGCCAACTCGAAGTCAGGGCCTGGAATAAACGCATTCCCTTGGGTTGAAGACATGCTGAACACATGATACCTATGGATAAGGGCCCAAGAGCAGTGCAAGGGAATACCATGCTCTTCTCTTGCTGTCTTATGCCTCCCTTTCCATATGACAGTGTTCTGCCTCTGGATAGCAGAGCTCCCAGGACCCATCGCTTTATGTCACACATACTCACACAGTGCGTGTGTGTGCTCAGTCCAACTCGTTGCAACCCCATGGACTGTATGTAGCCCACCAGGCTCCTCTGTCCATGGAACTCTCCAGGCAAGAATACTGGAGTGGGTTGCCATTTCCTACTCCAGGGGATCTTCCTGACCCAGGGATTGAACCCACATCTCCTGAGTCTCCTGCACTGAGTCAGATACTTTACCACTGAGTCACCTGGGAAGCATCTCTTTATGGTTAGAGATAATAGGGATTATTAGCGAAGTGGGCCTTGAGCCCCCGTAGCTAACCGGAAATCCATGTCCTCAATCGGGTTCTGGGTCAGAGTGAGACTAACAGCAACTATTTGTCAACTCTAAACTAATGGAATTCTGCCCTTCTAAAGTTGGGATTGGTCCTAAAGATAAGGAGGCTCATTGCCTCCCCCTGAAGGAAGGAAGGAGGACCACTCATTAGGAGAGGAGGTGGGATCCGATAGATCCATTACTATTGGCAAAATAAAGTTTTGAATCTCTTAAATATACTCACTCTTGATTGTCCTCCAGCTACTCAAAGACCCAATGCAGAGATTTTGCCAAAAAGTAGAGCTACAAAAAGGAGGGATTTTTCTGTGCTTAAATTTTAATGAGGGCCCCTTAGAAGTAGCCTTAACCTCCTCTCTCCCCTCAAAAATGGATTCCAGTGTATTAGACCCCTGGGGAGATATTAAGACAGAGCTTAATTAAAAACAGAAACTATTAGCTATTTAGCTCTAGACCAGTTCATTTTATATACTATCTAAAAAGGTCGGTGAGCACTATGTTAATAACAGCAAGTAACAAAGTCATACTAAACTAATACCACCCCACATTTATAAATCCATTTTGTAATACCCTCCTTGTATTGTTACATGCTTTATTGTTTACTTTTTCTGTGATTGCTAATTGTTGTATAGTCCCCTGTTAGGGGTTGGAATCCCTTAATACATCTCTAGGAGATTCTTGGTTTCTCAGCTTCTGAAATGACAACGGAGCTAAAAACAGGAGGAAATTCAGCATCAAACCCCTGCTGGTGTGATTCCAGATAGTTTCCTTGGAATGGTAACATTGTGTTTATCCATTTGCACATCAACTCCAACCTGGGCAGGAATATCAATTGCTTTCCATAGCTGCTCTCATCTTTGTTTTTCTGAACGTGAGGCAGGCCATTGGTGCATGCTGATGAGCCCGTATCCTCTCAATGAGGAATTGTATTCATCATTGAACTTCAATCTGTCTGAAAAACAGATATTTTTTGATGTGAATATTTGAGGGCAGGTGTAAAGTTTGCTATCAATAAAACAAATGACAAATCAATACAAGATTTTATTTAGAACTAATGTATTTTTAATAAGTTTACTTTGACAAGTATATAGTACACGCTCATCACTGATTCTGATGAATGCATTGATCAGCAAATGAGATGCTGGCGTGTAGAATGCATTAGCTCAGGCATTCTATTTCAAGGGCTTGAATTTTGACAATCAGAATCTAATCATTTAAATGCCTTGTAATTGTCAAGGTCTGATCCATAAATATGATACATGCCTGAAAATAAGCATTCTAAAAAGAGCACGGCATAAAATCTCAATAAACTGGTAGCTTCTAACTGTAGGAAAAGAATCCAACAAGAGAGAAGCACTAAACAAGATGGATTGAAAAATGGATCCAAGTTCTGCAACAATATCACTGTAAAGAGGAACAAAAGGTTCACTTTAGTGAGGGCTTCCCTGGTGCCTCAGATGGTAAAGAAAGCACCTGCAATGCGGGAGACCTGGGTTCGATCCCTGGGTTGGGGAGATCCCCTGGAGGAGGGCATAGCAACCCACTCCTGTTTCCTTGCCTGGAGAATCCCCATGGACAGAGAAGCCTGGCAGGCTACAGTCCATGGGGTCGCAAAGGGTCAGACATGACTGAGCGACTAAACACAACACAACACAGGGCCCACAGCTGCAGCCTCTGGGGCCAGGACATTTTAACACTGTCGTAGATACTCAGGGCCGATACTGAATGCTCTGGGTAGATTCAAGTTGTGGCCACAAGAACTGCAGTTCTTGGTACATCACGTGCAAGAAAGAATCCTTTGACTTACGATTGCAGCAGTGGTGAGCAGAATCTGGATCTGGCATGTGCTCAAAAAGACCCATCCTATCATTAACATGACACCCTGGTTTCTCCAGTGGCCATGTATGGATGTGAGAGTTGGACTGTGAAGAAAGCTGAGCACCGAAAAATTGATCCTTTTGAACGGTGGTGTTGGAGAAGACTCTTGAGAGTCCCTTGGACTGTGAAGAGATCCAACCAGTCCATCCTAAAGGAGATAAGTCCTGGGTGTTCATTGGAAGGACTGACGATGAAGCTGAAACTCCAGTACTTTGACCACCTCATGCAAAGAGTTGACTCATTGGAAAAGACCCTGATGCTGGGAGGGATTGGGGGCAGGAGGAGAAGGGGACGACAGAGGATGAGATGGCTGGATGGCATCACCGACTCGATGGACGTGAGTTTGAGTAAACTCCGGGAGTTGGTGATGGACAGGGAGGCCTGGCATGCTGCAATTCACGGGGTCGCAAAGAGTCGGACACGACTGAGCAACTGAACTGAACTGAACTGGGATCCTGATTGCCTATGGCCTGACTTGCCCCATTGCTTTCAGGATCTAGGACTGAGCTTCGAAAGAGTACTCACATTTCTAAATATTTTAAGAATTATCTGAAATAGTCTAGGACCTCTAGCTTAAATAGGTACCTTATTTGTACAAACAACCTGGAGTTGCATTGGACAGAAATGCTAAAGGAATAAAAAATAAGCTTGAAAAAGAGGTGCCACACCCCCACCCCATGTTAAAAATATATATCACATATTGAGAGTTCCTCATATAGTTTAGATAAAAATCCTTTTTGACAAAATTCAAAAGCTGTTTCTAAAATTCTCATGAAAATACAAAGGACCTAGGATAACCAAAACAACTTTGAAAAACACCAAGGCTATAGGACTAACATGAACTGATTTCAAGTTTATTTAAAAGCTACAGTAAGTAAGAAAGTATGCCAATATGTCAACATAGAAAATTAAATGGATGGAATAAAGAATCCAGAAACAGACTCCCATATCTATGACCATTTGGTTTTTTGTTTTGTTTGTATATCAAAACTAGTGCAAGAAAAAAATCAGATATTCATATGCAAAAAGGGAAAACTTGACATGATTCACATCACATCTAAAAAAAACATGGATTATACATTCAAATATAAAACCCCAAATTATTCAACTTCTAGAGGAAAATCTTATTGATTTTAGGTTAGGCAAATATTTTTAAACTAGGACTCAAAAAGAAAAAATTGATTGAATAGACTTCATCAAAACTGAAATGTTTGCTAAAATTTTACTAGTCTAAAGGTACTGTTAAGAAAATGAAAAGGCTGGCTACAGATTGTGAGAAAATATTTGCAGAACATATATCTGATAAAGGACTTGTATGCAGACTATATTAAAAATTCCTATAACTCCATAAGAAAAGCAAACAATCCAATAAAAAAGGCAGAAGATATTAAAGAAGACATAAGGAAGACAAATAAGCACATGAAAATTTTCAACATCATTAGTCATTAGAAAAACACTCATTAAAACTACTGGATACCCACAAGAATGACTAAAATAAAGAAAAATTTATAAACACAGAAGTTGCCAAGTGTTGGTGAAGATGTCTAGCAACTAGATTCTTATGCGTGGCTTGTGAGGATGCAGAACAGAACTGCCACTTTGGAAAATAAGTTGGTAGTTTTTTATCAATTTAAATACACACATACAGTATGACCCAGCAATTCCATTCCTAAGTCCTTATCAAACAGAAATGAAAACATGCCCATGCAAAGAATTGTACTCAAGTTCAGAGCTGCTTTATTCACACTGCTACTGCTAAGTCACTACAGTCGTGTCCGACTCTGCAACCCCATAGACGGCAGCCCACCAGGCTCCCCCCATCCCTGGGATTCTCCAGGCAAGAACACTGGAGTGGGTTGCCATTTCCTTCTCCAATGCATGAAAGTGAAAGTGAAGTCGCTCAGTCATGTCTGACTCTTAGCAACCCCATGGACTGCAGCCTACCAGGCTCCTCCATCCATGGGATCTTCCAGGCAAGAGTACTGGAGTTGGGTGCCATTGCCTTCTCCATTATTCACCCTAGTAATTGTCAAAAGCTGGAACAAACTCAACACTCATCAATTAATGAAGGGATAAACTATTAGTGGTACATCCTTACGATGAAATATGATTCAACAATAGCATAGATGTTCTCAAGAGGCTTATGTTATGCAAGAGAATCTAGATACAAAAGACCGTATAGTCTTTAGATGAAATTCTAGAAAAGTCAGACAAAAGGATAAAAAATGATATGTACATACTGTAATGATTTTTTAATATATACAGGAAGTCAAGGGATATAATATATAAAAATATTGACAGGGATTGTCCATGAGTGGTGTTGGTGATATTTTTTAAGTTATTTTTAATAATTTTCAAAATTATATGAGAATGTAGTACTTTCATAATATGGCCTTTAAGTGTACAGAAAGGTAAGCAAACAACACATACAAATACCTGTTCAAGGAAGGGACTGCTAGCAAATTTATCACAATAGGTAATTTGTTCCACTCTATTACATCTACCTGTTTAGTTTACATTTTTCTTATTATCAAACAGCCTTTCAAAAAGCTTTCCTCACCTTACAAGTAAAGGTCCAAATAGCTCAGCTTCCACAAAATGCAAGTCATTTCAGCAAGACAGCAAGGGCTGAGAATACTACCTGGGCAGGTAATTCCACGACTGAATATCAGTACTGCTCAGGAAATGAACCTTTCTCACTAGCTTCTTCAAATGCTACCTTCAGTTTGACACAAAGATGTGTGACAACCAGCTTATTGGCGTAGTTTTAATATGAGTTAAAGGTAGAAAACTATAGAAGTCATTTTCTTGAAAGTAATTGCAAAACAAGACATTATCTGTTATCAAAGCATAGGAAATGTGTTGAAAAACCTACAAAGAAAACTGATGCTGGGGAAAATTTTAAGTACATTTCATATTCACAACTCAAAATATGAGAAGAATGCCTGGTGTATGTTTGGGGGAATGTTCGTGCAAGATAAAGGACTTTGAATATAAACAAGTACCTAGAAAACATTTTTGAATTACTTGAAAGGATATCTGTTCTTTTAAAAATGTATGGATTTGTGAAGTAACTACCAGTTAATACCAGAGGGGATATAGTTACTGAGCCGAGCTACAAAACTACACATTTCTCCCCCAAATACTCTACTTTTACTGACAAAAATACAAAATGAAAAAAGTAAAAAAAATTTTGCAATGAAAAATATCCTGTATGAAATCAGACTCCATCAGCAAATATTATGTAACATTTATTTGAATCGCCACTTAAAATATAAGCAATTGTTTCATTGAAGAGACAATAACATTTGATGAATTCTTAGTCAAAACCAATAGCTATTCTACAAAATTGACATTTTGTAGTAATTTATGAAGTACTTACACTCAGAAATGATACTTTTTATCTGACTTGACCCAGAAATATTAAATTGTAGGATTGGCTTTTCTTACTACCTCTTCCTAAACCCATACCAAAAATATTTAAATTAAGCAGCAATGTGGACACTTTTTTAAAAACCTAGACAGCATATTAAAAAGCAGAGACATTACTTTGCCAACAAAGATCCGTCTAGTCAAAGCTATGGTTTTTCCAGTAGTCATGTATGGATGGGAGAGTTGGACTATAAAGAAAGCCGAGCACCGAAGAATTGATGCTTTTGAACTGTGGTGTTGAAGAAGGCTCTTGAGAGTCCCTTGGACTGCAAGGAGATCCAACCAGTCCATCCTAAAGGAGATCAGTCCTGAATATTCACTGGAAGGACTGATGCTGAAGCTGAAACTCCAGTACTTTGGCCACATGATGGGAAGGACTGACTCACTGGAAAAGACCCTGATGCTGGGTAAGACTGAAGGCAGGAGGAAAAGGGGACGAAAGAGGATGAGATGGTTGGATGGCATCAACGACTCAATGGACATGAGTTTGAGTAAACTCTGGAAGCTGGTGATAGACAAGAAAACCTGGGGTGCTGCAGGCCATGGGGCAGCAAAAAGTCAGACACGACTGAGAGACTAAACTAAACTGAACTGTGGGATAAATTAACTCTTTCAGACAAAGTTACCATCAATATCAGAGGAAATGTTCTTGCCAAACATTCCTTGGTATTATTACTCTATATTATACAGTACATTTGTCACATTATTTACAATTCTCTATTATATGCAATTACTCATTCTATTTATTGTCACATGTTGTCCTTCTAGGACATGTCCATTTGCTTCATTTGAAAGTAATACTTGCTCCTCATCCAAAAGCTCCTGGAGAAGAATGGCCAGTTTTAAATTATCTTTATTTTCCTGGGGCCCAGGACTGAATCTGTAGGAGATTCAGTCGCTTTGAGCTGAAAACCATTAAGCACTAATGTTTAAAAAGAATTTTCCTCACCTTAGGACACAGTCTAATAATCTTGGGAGAGTCTCAGGTGTGAGGCAATATTAAAGTGCAAGGCTGTCTGCACAGGTAATTAATAGAAGGCAAGCAGGAGCCGGCTGGCTCCCTGAGAAAGTTCAATCGGGGCATCTTTCATGGGGCAAAACCAGACACCAGGTACAGTATGAAATGACCTTTCTTCCTGTCCCGGCTCAAGGTAAACGGAATTAAGAAGCATGAGACTTCAACATGGCCATGCCCAGGCTCTGATCTGGCTCATTACTAACCAAGCACCTCAGGCACCTCCATCTACCTCGCCTAGTCTCCTTTTACCCTTCCGTAATTTTGAAATAACCTCAGAGGTCTCAACAAAGCAATATAAGCAAAGCACTCAATCAATGACAGTTATTATTATTACCTCTATGTAGCCGGTTGGCGGAGGAAAGCTGAACGAATGGTTTGTTTAACCTCAGACTGGTCAGCAGATGGTTCTGGGAACGAAGGAAGCAAAGAACCTCTCTTGGGCTGGAAGCTGGCCGAACCAATGGCAAGGACGTCTGGATTACTTTCACCTGGTGACTCTGTTCATTTCGGTTCAGTCACTCAGTTGTGTCCGACTCTTTGCGACCCCATGGACTGCAGCACGCCAGGCTTCCCTGTCCATCACCAACTCCTGGAGCTGTAGGACACAGCAAACCTATCAAGGGCTTACTGTTACCAAAGGCACGTTCAGGTGTCTGATGCACAGCGAGGCCAAACAAACCAAAACGGAGTTGGAGCAGAGAAAGATTTACTGCAGGGCCACGAACTCCCAGAAGGGTTTCAGCAAAGCGCTTTTAAAAACAAGGTGAGAGAGAGGTGTGGTTAATTGTCGTAAACTTTTCTGTATCAGAATCCTTTGATCTTGCAGCTGTCCAAAGTCAGGTCACGATGTTCCTGTAAGCCTTGAACAAGACAAATGTTATTCTCTGTTCTGCCACTTTCTATCTCTATAGGGACCCTTAAAGGTCAGAGCCCTGGGGATACCTTATCCTGTACATTTCAGGCTATAAGCAACATTCTCTTACAAAAGGTGCAGAGCCTGCTTGCCTAAGCCCAGGCAACAAGAGCCGGAAGGTTAGAAGAAAAGGAATAGATCCAATATGCGGTCAGATTTGTTCTTCCCTATGTGAGTTAGTCGCTCAGTCGTGTCCAATTCTTTGCAGCCCCATGGATGGTAGCCCGCCAGACTCCTCTGCCAATGGGGTTCTCCAGGCGAGAATCCTAGAGTGGGTAACCATTCCCTTCTCCAGGGGTCTTCCCGACTCAGGGGTCGAACCCGGGTCTCCTGCGTTGCAGGCAGATTCTTTATCATCTGAGTCACCAGGCTAGGCCCTTTGTTCTTCCCTCTTGTGTTACTATTCACAAGAGTTTTTCCCCCTGCCACTGGAAGGAGTGTCAGTTTTCCTGAGTTGGTGGACATTCTGTAGCCTCCTCTTCCAGCAGATTCAGGAGGACGTGAGCCCCAGAGGTACCAGCCCAGGTTCAGCTCCAGCTGCAGTGACCCTGAGCCTTTCCCCAAAAGTCTGATGGGATCACCTGCAGGCTCCCAGTGAAGCTATATCTAGCTCAGGAATTGGAGTTAAATATGGATATTTCAGGGAGATGGGCTGGTAAAGGCAAAGAGGTATAAGTCCCTGTATTGAAGTCATTCTGCGATGTGTAACAAGCAGGACAGATGTGGCCCAAAGCTTCCAGCTTCCAAGCTTGAAATTTGGTGTCTCTCAACTTCTTTAATCCTCAGTTTCCTCAACCACACACATTTTCCATTATACCCTTGCCTTGCCTGCCTCAAAATACTATGTGATAATCAGGTAAACAAAAAGACTCACAAAACTGTATTTTGGAAATATGAGTGTTCATTATTTCCTTAAGTCCTTACTCAAGTCAAGAGATGTATCTCTCCACCTCTTTGAGGATCTTGTACTGGACTCAGCTCGTCTGGAAAACGGGAATGACAACTCCATCTCGAGAGATTTTGTGGGAGCCATGAAAATGCAAATACTCTCACAGCCTTCTGCAAAGTCCTAGGTCAGCCAAACTGTACCTTAATTAATTAAATGTTTCTCCCGAGACAATACCTCGTTTATGTCTGAGGCATACAGAAAAGAAGCAGAAATATTTCTGTTGCCATACAGAAAAGCAGAATGGGAGCTGCTATCTCTCTCCCTGGTCCCTCTGGGCTGCATCTTTGGGTTATTTATTTTTCCCCTCTATTTCCACACATGCTTTATTTTTGGTTGGCGTGAAGACCCCAAAGTTTTGCCATTCTTTGCTCCCTCCTTTTTCATTTGGCTGTTTCATTCCTAACAGATCCTCTATACTCCATTATACCCCATATTTTAGGATTAGAAAGACAAAACATTTCTCTAGGGGACCAAGCCGTGTGCTCAGCTTGTCTGGCCCTGATCCCTCCCAGGTCTGCTCTGGATGTGTTTGCTCAGAGGTGGCGGAGGCGTCATTAAGTCCCCGGTTCCCTTGGAGATTAGGGTTGCAGGTTCGCCCAGGGTGCATTCAGCTCACATATTCTTTCAATCTGGGTAAAAATTAAAATGCAGCAGCTGTGATGCCTGCAAATCTCCATGCAAGAATGGTCTGCCTGTGCTGACCGAGGAAATCAAGTCCATTAGGACCACCAGGGCTCGTTCTCACTTCCAAGAAGAGAAGACTCATAAATACTAGCCTGCTGTAAACAGCAAGCAAATTGTTTTTATTTTTATTTTTTGGCTGCGCTGCTTGACATGCTGGATCTTAGTTTCCCAATCAGGGATGGAACCCATACCCGCTGCATTGGAAGCCCAGAATCTTAACCACTGGACCACCAGGGAAGTCCCAGGCAAACTTTTTAAAAAATGTATTCCCTCTGGCTTTTTAATCTTTGGCTTTTGAATATGAGCAAAGTAATATGTTCTCTGACATCAGAAGAATGAAATCAAGGCTCTGAGAAATGAGGAGATCAGGATGTGAATAGAACAAAATATTCCAAACCTTATCAGGAAATCCTGGACCATCCCGCTCTATTTCTCCTCATATCCAACATCCACAAACCATGTTTTCTTTCCAATGATACAAAAATTTTAAAGATCATTTAAAAGCTGCTTAGACATTTACCATCATATAGGGTATGAATATTAAAACTTTAATTTATATCTAATTAAATCCCAGTGCTTGATGGGGAGGCAGCATAGCATAGCTGTTTAGACTGGTTACAGTACTTTAATCTTTCTGAGGTGGTGGTATTTGATGAGGGGCATACAATGGTGATAATCTGAGTAATTCTTTTGCTGTATCACTCCATGAACTGCCTTGTGCCAATTCAGAGAATGCATCCTTAAGCTCCGGTTCTTCTGGAATCACTTCTAGCACCAAAATCTGTTTCAGTCAGTGTTTAATCATGAACCAGTGGGAGGTAGATGATAACTAAATAGACAGGTAGGTGAAAGATGGTAGATAGGTAGATAATTTACTACAGAACATTGGTTTACATCTGTGAGGCTAAGTCAGTAAGAAGTTCAAAGCCCAGGCCATCAGGAAGCATCCTGAATAAAGTGAATCTCCATGGGCACAACCCAGTGCTGTCATCCTGGGTCCCAATTTCTTTTCTCTGAAAGGGAAACCTCAGTCCTGATTTTAAGTCTTTCCAACTGATGCAGTCAGGCCCATCCAGATTGTCCATGCAATCTCCCTCACTTAAGGTCCAGCAATTATAGGGACTAGTTATACAAAATACATTCACAGCATTGGTATTTGATTGAATCACTAGTCAAGCATAGGAGGGACTAGTCTACTGGACTTTAGTCAAGTTGACACATGAAAACATTATCACAAATATTTTAAAAATCCAATACCTAGGTATAAACCCTAAAAAACAAAATTTACAAGACCTTTGCATTGAAAAACTACAAAATTACAAGGAGAGCTGTGTTATATGATGTAAATGAATAGACAGTTATACCATGTCCATAAACTGAATGGCTCAATATTAGAAAGCTAATAATGCTCTCCAAATTTAGCAATAGATGAATACAATCATATTTAAGTCCCCAGCAGGCCCATATATATATATAATATATATATATATATCCATATATATATAATGTATATTATATATAACACATGCACATATATATATATATAAATTGACAAATAAAGTTTGGCAAGAAGGCAAAAATCACTGCAACAGTTCTGAGCAACAACAAAAAGCTGGATAATATGCACTCTAGATATCAAGACTTATTATAAAGCTATATTCATTAAAATAGGTATAATTTTGCCATTAAAAATATCAAGAGAACAGAATAGAATACAGAAAGTGAAATAGACACGTGAGGTCATTTGATTTAAGACGAAGGGGCCACTCATTGTAATGCATTGGGGAAATGACGAATTTTCTACAAACGGTTCTGGGTCAACTGGATAACCATGGAAAAAAGTAAATCTTTATTCTCACCTCATATCATACACACACAAGAATCTGTCCCAGAGGGACTGTAGATCTAAACATGAAAGGTAAAACAATAAGCTTTTAAGAGAAAATACACGAGAATGTCTTCATGACCTTGGAGTAGGCAAACATTTTGTAAGTAGGACATGATGAGCACTAACTGTAAAAGTAGGTTTATTTTTACATTTGTATACGCCAGATTTAAATATTTATGTTCATCAAAGGGCACCATTAAGAACTGAAGAGATACAGAAATAGCCTCACATCTATAGAGTCAATCAATTTGGGCAAATATGCCAAGAAAATTCAATGGGAAAAGGAAAATGTTTTCAACAAATGGTACTGAAATCAATGAATCACCACATGAAAAAAAAAAAGCCTCAAGATGTATCATAGACCAGATGATAATGGTCTAGTTCTTGACCTGAGCACTGATTATAGGGTCGGATACCTTTTGTGAAAATATCTCAAGCCATACACTACACACCCATGTGTACACTACCCTTCTATGAATATACATGTGTATACACAGATAGACTGATTGTATATTTTACTTGAAGCCCTAACTTATGTGCTATTATTATGAACTATCTCTAATCCACACTCTAGTTTCACGAGGCTAGAAGACATCTTCTCTACCTTTAATTTCAGTAGTTTTTATCAGTGTCATAGGCATTTGGATTGCCATACCAAAAAATACCACAGGCTGGTGATTTGTAACAACAGAAATGTATTTCTCACAGTTCTGGAAGCTGGAGGTCGAAGATCAGGGTGCTGCATGACTGGGTTCAAGCAAAGACTTGCTGAGTTGCAGGTTGCTGACTTCTTGCTGTATCCTCACATGGTTGGGGGTGGGGGAATGAGGGAGTTATTCAGGGGGCTCCACGCTCTCAACCTCATCATCTCCCAAAGGCCCCACCTCCTGACACTATCCCTTAGGCATTAAATGGTTTTTAACATACAAATTGAGGAAGAAAAAAAATCTATAACAATTTGTGAGTCTTTTATGGGACAAGTTACTTTCTTCCCTGTAGTAATAGTATCAGGTACAGATTTTATTTCCTCTACTAGATTGCAAAAGAATCTACCAAAGGAGCTAACCGTGTCTGGACCATAGCAAGTACTCAGTAATTACACATAGAGGAAGTGAATGAAACTTCCCTTTGCTTTTAAAACAAGCCCAAAATCCTTTTGGATTTTGAAACTTTGAATGTGTTGCCTATCTCCCAACCAAAAAAAAAACAAACCAAAACTGTCCCGCCCCATACCTCTACATCATTTTTGAGCCAACTGAGAAATCAAAATGGAAATCTAAAAATAAACAGAGGCTTCCCTGGTGGCTCAGACCTA